GCGGCAGCTTTGCAGCGGGCTGCCTGGCAGCTGATCCTGCTTTGCCCTTATAAGCAGCTCTGGAGGACAGGGTGAGGGGTAAACTCACTCAGCCCATGAACGAGCACTTGGTTTGTCGCATCTGGGGAACCATGGTGCCAGCACGCCTCAACAAGGAGAGGAAGAAGGCTCTCACCCACCAGAGCTGACTTCTGAAATGCAAGGGTGATGGAAATGCCATTGCTGGTGCTGAGGAGGGTGAGCTCCACCTCTGCACCCGGAAGCCCTGCCTGCTGCAGAGCTGTGGCGCTGCCGGCCTCTGCTGGCTCGCTGCCTGCTCAGTGTGTCTTTCCCAGAAGAAACTGCTTTTGGCTGCCTCGCTGGCACTTCCAGCCCAGCCAGCCTGGGGTAGGGGTTTGAGGGGCAGCTGGCGGGCAGATCTGCGAGCAAAGTTCCTTGGCAGCCCTGGAGACGTGCACAGGGGGCTGGGGAGCAGCTCAGCCTGTCTGGACAAGCAGGAGCTCACAGCTCCCTGGGGGCAGAGCAGAGCCCCTTGGTCCTGCTGCTACTGCTTCTGTCCTGGCCTAGCACAAACCCTCTGGCCCTTCCCCTTGCTCCTATTTTTTTCTGTAGGATTTTGTTCTTCACCAGCCTGCAGGCTTCATGGCTTGGGTTCTCCTAAACACACGTGTGTGTTGATGAAGCAGAAAGACAACAGTGCCCTGTAGGATTGGAGATGTCAGTTTATTGTAGGAGGTGATTTGAACAGTCACAGATACCAAAGCCGAGGGGATGTAGAACAGCTGTGGGCATGGCTCCCCTGGAGCTGGCTGCCCCTGCTTGACAGGGGGTGCACAGCAGACGGGGAACCCAGGGACCTGGCTGCCTGCAGGGGCTGAAGGGCCAGAGCGCAGGGGGTTCCCTGCCCCCAGGAAGCAGCCAGAGGTGCTTCCCACTGCTCTGCAGTGAAAGGTGGAGGCAGGCAGCCAAGTCCCAAGGTATCCTGCATCAGTGTCCATCCTGTACCACAGCAGAGCTGCTCAGGTATGCTGGAGTGCAGGGGGACACAGTAGGAGCGATGCGCCCTATGGACAAGGGGGCACAATCCCAGCACACAACACCGAGTGACTCCCTATGCACCTATTTCTCTTCCCAGCCCGCTGCTGAGCCCATGCCCCAGAGACGGTGTGCCAGGTCACCCCAGGAGGGCTGTAGCAGC